CATATTCTTATGCTCACTTACTGAACCGGCGAGAGCGAGAGTCGCCTCGTGTGTGGATGTGAATGTGAATGGAACTTGCTGGCACCCCGCCTGTTTATATTTAGCCACTGTGGGCGGTATAGCTGTCATGGATACGTATCATCGGCATAACTGAACTTTGCAAATGAATAATGAAGTTCCATTGGCTGTGGTGCCGGTATGCCGATTATAGCCCCGTCCGTTAGAATGGTTCCTGAAATTGCACAGCCCGTTTATTGTCCGTCGTCGGACATTGTTCGCGTTTACGTATCCAACCACGAGTACCACGACCAGCTCGACGAGTCTGTTAATGAACGAGGGCAGGCCAAACTTCCAGCGGAATTTATCTTTTATCCCCGAATCAAATTTAGTTAAACTCGTTCTCAATAGGAACGCATATATATATATATTCTTTTTCTTCCCTTATATTTCCAATTTTCAACACGATGCAGTTAATTAATCGTTACGTCAATTTTTGGTTTCGATGATTTCTTGATAATAAAAGTTTCTTTTCTGAATATAAATCGAATATAATAGACGATACGGTCGAAAGAGAAAATTTTTAATTTTACACCGAGGATATTAAGGGTTAATTGATTAAATTATCTCTTAAACTAGGGGTGAAAGAGAGCGTTAAATACGAGTGAGAGGAATGATTTATTTATCTTCGCTTGAAATCGTTTCTTTTCTAATTCCGTGCGATAATAATCATCCTCATTTTCGAAATTAGATTTCTCTTAGATTAGAAGAGGATTAAAAGTCATTGGGACGAAGTAAGTGAAGTTGGCGATGACGTTCCGAATATATCGAAAATGTTGCACGCGGAACGGGCTTTGAGTGGAAAAAAACTGATTGTCCAGTCAGTTTTTCTCGCGATCTCCACAATGTTGTTTTTTTACGGCGCACACAACTGGGCAATTAGTGGTAAGAATAATTAGCGCTAACGAGTGCATTTCCATACAGAGGTTGTTTAATATGCGGATCCGGCCGATAGACGCGAATATCGTACCGTCGATACCAAGTGCTGCTGGCAAAACAATGAAGTCTAACACTAAACATGTATCCGCGTACGTCGATCGATGTATTTGATATACAAGTATCTTTTTTTTTTCTTTTTTTTTTTTCTTCTTTCGTATAGATAATTCGCAATTATTATTGCGAGTGTAATGCCGTTTACGAACGAGCACGGACCGTTTTATTGTTTTCCTATTTAATGACGAAGAATCAATGATCAATGGAAATTACAAAGCGTTTTTTTCTTTTTTTACGAGTTTTTTTTTATGAGTTTCTTACGTTGACGATCCTCAACGATCTTAACGATGTTAATATGTTCGATTCCAGCGTGGAATGGTCCCACTGTGTAAAAAGTATGGAAGATTAATAATAAAAAAAAAAAAAAAAGAATTGAAAAATTTTTAGAGATTTATCGAGGAAAGATTATATGTTCATTAAGCATTCATCAAGGAGCAAGAATGCGAATAGTGATATTTCACGATCGTTCCACCAGTTTTTCACGGTACGGATATTTTTGGAGTTGCACGCCCTTACGAAGTGGCCCAACTCGGTTCATTCAAGAACCGTGCCCGAGAAAACTGGTGACTCGTCTTTCAAGCTTTCTAACAAATAACCGGTATCGTTCAACGCGTACGTGTTCGCGCGGCGAATAAATCTACTAATTTCCGTGCCTTGCATTTTCCCCCAGAATTTTACAACATTTTTATCATAATTTATCGTTTTATCGTTAAATCGAAGAACGATTCGTTTCATTTATTTTCACTTCTTTTTTCTTTTCTTCTGCAAACTTTCATGAATCCCCCTCCTTAGATATTTCCAAATGAAAACGTCAAAAATATCAAATTGGAATTTTCGAAAAGAAAAGAAAAAAGAAAAATCCATATCCAACCGAACGTTCCGTTTCAACCATCCATTATAAATAACCCGACCGAAATTACCGCGTTAAATTCTTTTCTTCTCCCCGCGACATGAATCATCAGGTTCTCCCGAAAAAAGTCGGAAAGTCACATGGTAACGTTCTCTGAAAGAAAGGCAAACATCGAACGCGTTGCTCTTCCCTTCTTCTTCTTCTTCTTCTTCTTCTCCTCCTCCTCCTCTCCTTCCCTTGTATTCAAGGGGATATAAAAAAGGGAAAATGGGAGACGAGCGGTTCATCCTCGCGTGTGTCCTCCGCGTGGTCGTAAATCACGGGCCGCGATCTTCCACAATCCGCATCGAGGATTAATAATCGCTCGTCGAAAGGCAAGCGGATAGAGAGAAATAGGAGAAAACGAAGGAAGAGACGCGCGCGCGCGCCTAATATCGTGCATATGTGACGTTTCAACTGGTGCCCAGGCTGGATGAATAAACGTCTTCCTTATCGTCCAAAATAGACTTTAAACTTCAAGCATATCTGGACCAAAGCCAGGTCGTAGGAAAATACAATGATATTAACCACGTTGAATTGTTACACTACCGGTTACTATACGTGAGAGAGGCTCCGCGCTGAAAACCCTCCCCCCTTGTTGAATTAATAGCGCCACCTAGCGGTGTCTTGACTAATGGACGCCGCTGGAAAAGAAATTCATCCGGTCACCTTAACCCCTGCCACCACGAAGGGGCGTGTATTTCCGTCCTACATACGCGGGAGAAAAGGGTCAACGTGTAAGATCCGTTTCTGATCCTTGAAAATCATCCAGAGACAATTGGTTGCACTCTTTATGGAGAGCAACATCGAAGATCGATCGATTTTCGATCCACCAATCCGTCACACATTCCCTGTTCTCTTTGCCTAAATTTGTAATAGAAGAAATACCAAAAGTTTGAAGAAATACCAAAACTTTGAAAGATCGTCAGAGTTTCTCTATTAAGATATCTTTTTCACGTTAAAAGAGTACATTTCAGTGTTCGCTTATTTTAAAATGATCTTTTTTTAACAAATATTGCGTACAAAGATTTAAAAATAGTCTTCTTTTTTTTTTGAATCCTCGCAGAAATGGCGAAAGAACATGGCAATGAAACTTTCCTCGAAACTCGAGAAAAACGACGAACGAGTCGTTTTTTGTAAGATAACGGCGAAAACAATCGAAAACAATCGATTACACGATTTCAAGATCGCTCGTTATACGCGTTTTCACGCGCATTCAATGCAAATCGGCGGAACAATGCGTCGAAACGAATCGTCGCGGCGGCGAGCATCAGGGACGCGCGAAAAAGAAAAAAAAAAAAAAAAAAAAGAAAAAAAAGCAAAAAGAGAAAACACATATAAAAAAAAAAAAGAAAGAAAGAGATCAAGCGTTACGCTCGCGAGCGGGATTAATAACGCGCATAATACATTTTGGAATTTTCATGTGGCAACGCGTAACGCGTTCCGCACTATCTGCGTTGCATAAGCGCAGTCGGAAGTTTCGCGAGAAATAAACCGTGAATATCGTTCGAGTCGAAAAACTATTCGATCGAATCGGCCCAAACGTCTAACGACCGTCATCTGTGCCTGGCCATTTATTAGCGATCTAATCACACGAAAAAGGAGCGAGGAGCTACGTTGGTTAAGGATCCGGTGGTTAAAAGAGGGACAACCCAAGACGTTAAAAGAGATACCTGTCGTGTTATCACGACACTTCGTGCCAATAACGTTCCCTTCTTTTTTTTTTTTTTTTTTTCTGTCGAGCTCTCTTTGCTCGATTGGGCTCGCTCTGGGCTGAGCCAGCTTCCGTTTCACGCGGCCGATAACCGGCAATTAAAGTTGGTATCACGCCCGATCCCGCGTCTTTTATTACGTTTTCTGGGAAAGATCGGTGTTGAACTGAACTGGTTCTAGTCGCGTCGTTCGAATGCTTGGGCGAAGAGAAAAAAGAAAAAAGAAAAAAGAAAATGTGTTCGATTGGTCACGATTGGAAAACGTAGTGCGTAGAACGTAGTAGATATTCGATATTCTATCTGGTAGCGTAATGATAAATGAAGATTCTATGGTAACGAGATTAAATTATAGTTTAGATATATATATATATATATATGAAATGTTGGGGGGAGGCGAGTTTAGGCGAGCGCGTAAAATATTGTATCGGCTGTTACAGAAAGGAAATTATACCGTGATATTAATAATAAGGCGGCCCTTCTCGTCGATGGAGGAATATTTATAAGAAAAATCTTGATGTTTCTTCTATAATTTGTTGTGTTAGCCAGTTTAGAGATTATGTCTGTTTAAATCGTTCACGCGGTATACATATGTTTCTGAATATTAATATAATATCTGGCTCTGTATCTTTATCATTTGTTTTTGTATGTTTTTTATTATATATATATATATATGGAAGGAAAAAGTGATGGAGTTTGTACACGCTTCTTCAATTAGCGGTTTCCCTGGAAGCTGTAAAAGCCTGGAAGAAATGAGTTCGTAAATGGGAATGTAAATTTGATATATTTTAAGATCCAGCTAAGGTTACATATTTTTTTCGCGATAATGATATAATTATAGCTTCGGATATTTAAGTATGCATAAAGTATGCGTAAATATATATTACGCTTATCTTCTAGTTGTACTTCTAGTCGTGTATCTATTCGACTTAAGTTTTTATTAAAACGCTACACACATATTTCCGGAAACTATTTCCAGAAATAATCTAATCTCTAATTTTTCTAATAGTACGTAAGCAAAACTTCGTCGTTTTCTAGGAAAACTTGTTAGAAAAGGAAATAAAAAAAAAAAAAGAAAAAAGATAGATCATTTACGAAACCATCTATGGATCTAACAATTTTCCCACATTACGTTTTCATCATTCTTGTCGTTCCAACTGAAAAGCAGAAAATGAATATCCGAGCCGAGCCAACAATGGCTGGCTTTCGTTTCGTTGAGAAAGAAAGAAAGAGAAAAAAGATAGAGAGAGAGAGAGAGAGAGAGAAGGGGAGGGGTAAATTTCATTCTCTGTTTTTTGCCCGCGACAACGGGGTTCATCATCCCTCTAATTGCTCGTCCCATGGCTTTGCAGTCGTATCCTGCGCACATGACCGTCGACTCGCAGAAGCAAATCGAGATGCAGCGGCTGCAAACGGAGCACTTGAAGCGGCAGCAAGAGCACATCATGCAGCACAACATCCAGGAGCTACAGGCTCAGATGACAAAGAACCAGCTGAGCATGTCGGGGCCGCAATCCTTGATGTTCCTACCGTTTCTCGAACAGCTCAGAGGGTTGCCGGTGCAATCGCCTATGCCGCCACCGCCGGTTACGTCGACGTCAACGACCACCAACAAACATATCAATTCGATCGCTAACGTACGTAGACCCAACCGCAATCCCAATTTCCCCCGTTCGTTTCCGCGCTTCCACACTTTGATTAAGCGTTTTTATTAATTGGCTCCAACCAAGTACACGATGTTAACGTTGACGGGAGCTAACGTTGAAACTTTTGAAAGGGAGGCAACCTCGTTCCAGATGAAAAATTCAGAGGCGTAGATAGATGTAGATGGCGCGACGTAGATGGCGCCACCGACTTTTAAAGGGAAGGCGGAGGATTGATAACCGCGTGAAAAGAAAAAAAAAAAAAAAGAAGTCGAAAGCGGGAAAAACGAGTTATTGGGTACCCTCTCAACTAGGTGTAAAACGTAGGTGTCGTAGAAGATCCTACGTAGGACGAAACGTCACTTTGACGTTTGCTCGTTTCCTTTCTTTTCTCGGGGGAGAAATTATTTATTTCACGAAAACGATGGATCTTGGCGAAGGCGATCCGTCGGATGTAGCGAGCGATAGATCCACGAATTTCATTGGCAACAGTTAGTGCGTTGCGTGTTTGATTTAGATTGGCATTTTAAGCATTCGATCATGCTGCTTTGAAACTGTATCAATTCCCATGGATGCGGGGGCAGGGACGTCACTCGTGCTCCCTTAAAAACTCGAATTTTCTTTCTCGAAAGGAAAGATAATTTCTCCAATTTTCGACTTGCTTTTTCGTCAAGAATCGCGCCACTTTCGATCCATCGTTCATTCATATGAAACGTATACTGCGTTAAAATTAAGACTTTCGTTGTCAACAAGAACAAGGCACAAACTCTATATACATCGCTCTATTAATCTACCTACTTAAATTAAATTTTTTAATCCAATTTTTATGCATGAAAAATTTGCCCGAGCGTCACAGAGATCGAAACGAAAAACGAACCCGTCTATCGGCTATAAAAAAAAAGGAAGAGGGAGAGAGAAAGGAATATTTTTAAGTTTTCCGAGAATAATGCAAAATGGCGACGTGTATTGAACGAAGCGCGTATTATTATTACAGATGATCAGCAGCCACCGGGAAGGGCCAAGCTGGGCGACGGCGCATCTCGCGCAGATGACCACGCAGATGGAGAAGGAAGCGTCGCCGACGCCGATCTCTTCCGCCGTGGCGCCGACCGCAGCCCCCTTGCAGGATCTCGACGCGCCTCTCAACCTCACCAAGCCCAAGTCCTCGTCGTCGGGGGCCACGGCGTCCTCCTCGTCGCCCGGAAGCGACTCCCACTCGACCGGGGCCGGAAGCAGCGGCCAGCAGGAGCAACCGCTCGCGGCCACCGCGCCGAAGCTCTTCCCTCCAGGCCTACCGATGCCTCGAAATTATCTCACCACCCTTCCTTACGCGGGTCTTCCACCTCACCTCAGCTCCATCTCCTCCCCGAGTAAGTGGTTTCCGAATTCGTAATTTCGATAAATCTCGGAATTTTTTTTTCTCTCAGAAGAGAAAGAAAGGATTTTTTTTTTTTTTTTTTTGAATGAGTACCTTAAGTATCGTCTCTTTCTCTTTTCACTTCTTCGCGTCCGAAAGCAAGCGTGCAAAAAGATATATGTTCAAACGGAATAAAACTCGATAATATAAATAATACACGAGCGAGCAATTGATCTAATCCGTCTAAAAAAACACGGAATAGACGAGCGGAACAAAAATGTAGCAGATACATTGCCGATATTTGAACATCTGTTGCTTTTATCTCTCGATGCCTTTTGCTCTAACGAGGCAAAAGCCGCGTGGAATCGCGATGAATTTCATCATTAAACGCGTATGTACGCGTGCTGATAGAAATTCCGATCGAAGAGGAGGGAGAGAGGGACGAAAGTAGAATATCGATGCTCGATCGTCCGTCGAGATCGGTTACGAACGCAATTCACTGCGATCGTAACTGCCCGTTTGTGAAACGGGCGACAAGTCTGTACCCCCTTTTCGGGGGGGGGGGGGACAGACGAGGCCGTGGGCCGTGGGCTGGAAAAAATTCGATCAATACCCCATAGAATTACGCGGCGGGATCAGAAACGTACGGTTAATTATCTTCGGGTATGCGCGCGCGTTTACCTGATTGTTCGCGATCGGCTTTTTCCTTCTCTCTCTCTCTCTCTCTCTCTCTCTCTCTCCTTCTCTCCTCCCCTTCCCTCCTCCTTTAGTAAACCTGTTTCCTTTCGCGGCCGGTTTTTGCTTTCGGTTTAAAGCACAATCAACGACGCGTAACGTGATTCTAAGATAAGAGCCGGTGCACCTTGTATCCTCGAGGGGGGAAGACATGAGGGGGGAGGGGGATAGAGGGGAGGAAAGGAAAAGGCAGAAAGAAAAGGAAAAAGGATAAAGGAAATAAATAAATAAATAGAGAAACAAAATGAAAGAAAGATTGAGAGAAGGCGGTGGAAAAGAGAGGCGAGGAAACGAGGCTGCGGATTCCGAGCAGCTGTCACCGCCTCATATTAGATTGCTTCGTATAGATTCTTTTCCTCGATTTCTCGAATACGAAAAAAAGCGCGAATTGTTGTTTTTGTAACATTTTGTAACATTTTTTAGTTGATTCGGTAATTGGCACAGAAAATGATAACAAGTATAAGTTGAAACGTTAATGGGAAGAAAGATATTTAATGAGAAATTAAAATCAAGAAAGTAAAAAAATGATAATATATATATATGGGATGAAATGCATATAGGTCAAAGACGAATTTAAAACAAATTCTTATAGTGGGAAACAAAATTCGTATAAATATTCATTCGTTATCACGAACAAAGGTGTAAATTTACACGTAATCGTGAAAGTAAATGTATTGCTTGAAAACCAAATTAGATTAATTGCAGGTTTTCAGAAATATAATTGTAGGTTTATAAAATGAGCTTTTCATGTAATCATTATCAGATCATGAACAATCGGCTCGTCAAGATCTCCAAGTGAATATTGGATAATGCACTGTATAATAAACCCATTTTTTTCGTCGAGACCTTTTGCCGTCTCCAATACCTCTTCAATTTTTTTTTTTTTTTTAATCAAACTTCTATTAATCAATTCATTCCTAATTATTATAACTCGGAAAAGATATATCTTCAGGAATTGACGATTTTCACGATTTCAAGAATCTGAAACATAAAAAGATAAAACTCAGTCAGGATAAATTTTAAACTTTTGAAACCTTGAAAATTATTTTCCACAAAATGTTTCTCTCTTACGCAACGTATTTTCAAGCACGTTGAAAAGAAGAAGCAACCAATGACATTTTTTTCCAATATATCATTGCTGCTCTTTGTACGATTACATTATGCATTGATCTTCGTAATTTTTCCTCCTTACTTACCTCTGGCATTTATCATTACAGTGGGCAAGGTAATGGCCAAAGACGAGGCGGCTGGACCTGGGGGTGCCGTGGCAGCAGCCGCGGTCGCCGCCATGGAGAAGCACATCGCGATGCATAGCATTTACGCGATACCACCGAGTGCTGGCGCGATGCCTCCATCGCCGCAGACTCAACGACCCGGGGGTCTCAAGCACTCAAGTTCTCGGGAAGAGGCTGCACAGGAGGAACAGGACTACCTGTCGACACCTCACAGTAAATATTTCTTCTCTAAAGTTTATTTTATCGTCGACGATGGTTCGATATTATTATCATAAAACGAATAATTTTTCGAGCAATTTTTACAAAGCAGGATGGATCGAAAATTTGAAAGCATTTGTCTGTCATATCTAAAAAAAAAGAAAATTTTAGGAATTTCTTCTTCTTCGTAATAGAAGAAAATTCTTTACGTATAAAGATAGGAGATTTCTAGGAGATTTGAAAACGTAGATTGAATTTTTATTATCGTGCATTATCGTGCATTATTATCGTGTTGGAAATACTTCAGTGTGACGCACGATGCATCTCACGAAGAAAAGGGAAACAATTAAAGATTATTAATGTTCCGCTTGGTAGATGATTAATATGAATTCTAATGATCCTCTAATGACTGTAATTATGAGAAAATACTTACGAACATTTTTTTTTTTTTTTTTAATATTGAAATTATTTATCAATTATCAATCTGTGTAATCAAAATTTAACGTAAACTACAAAATAATTTCGATTATTCTTTCAATGATTAATCACCTTTAAGGCTCTATTTTCTTCCAAATACAATTTTAATTTGCTCACGTTTCCATTCACGTGTCTTTAAATAAATCCATTCATTAGATTTGCTAAAAAGTTAAAAAAACGCGAAGGCGCGCTCACATCGTTAATAAATGTGATTAAAAATAGATGCTATTTTAAACTCTTGATTAAAATTTTATAATATCTTTTTATAATCTTAGGATAGAATAAAATTGAACGTTTCTATTTCTTCCACGCTTCCAATTTTGATCCATTCCCTGTATTATATTTATCGTATAACCTTTTCATTTTCTTATACGAGGAGAGATATAAATTAATGATTATATTCTCAGATCTTCAGTTATAAGTTAATATAAAGCGTAAAATAATAATAATAATAATAATAATAATAATAATAATAATAATAATAATAAAAGATGAAAGAAACATTTTTTTCTTCTGATAAGCATACATTCATTCCCGCTTTATTTGTACGTAACGAAGCGTTTAAAATGTAGGTCTCTGTCGACGAGCAACTCGTCCATGCACCAACTACCTAATATCATTAATTATTGCTGAAATACAAATTACGCGGATGAGATACAGTTTATGCACAAATGTTTACGGAGAAACAGAGATTTATACGAATTTATATGAATAAAAGATGTTTCTCTCTCTCTCTCTCTCTCTCTCTTTCTCTCCTTGTTCCATTATTTATCTATTTTTTTATTAACCTATTACGTATCTAATACCTTAAATATGATAATTCTATATTTTTTTTTTATATAATAATAACAAAAGATAAAATCACGAATGTATCCGTATTCGATAAATGGTGTCGCGTTCACACGATTTCTCATAATCCGCTCAAACTTGCCGTTGCAAAATTATAACATGCTACGATGTTCTGAAATTACAGTGTGGCGGGAGCCGGGTTACAAGGTACCGGAAGACATAACGGAAAAAGGTAAGCAGTCTTTTGACGAGCCACGGGGCTGACGTTCACGCTTTTGTTTCGAGAGCGCCAGGTGATGCTCACGAAATCAGATTCGCTTCTCACGGGAGGGAGCCAGGCACCGGCTCGTCGACATCTAACACGTCTTCTCTCTGTCCAGCTAAAATGGTGAGACAGCAGAAGAGGGAGGGTGAGAACAAGCCACATATCAAGCGGCCTATGAACGCGTTCATGGTGTGGGCCAAGGACGAGCGTAGGAAAATTTTGAAAGCCTGCCCGGACATGCACAATTCGAACATATCGAAGATACTCGGTAAGTCATCCCTCGATCAAATCCTCCACCCCCCCCCCCTTTATCGATCAATTATCATCAACGATCGCGCAAAACTTTATCATTTTCTTTCCTTCTCTCTCTTATTTTTATTTTTATTTTTTTTTTTTTATTCTTTTTTCCACAATTCTTTGAACAGGAGCTCGATGGAAAGCGATGTCGAATTCCGAGAAACAGCCATACTACGAGGAGCAGTCACGATTGTCGAAGCTGCACATGGAGAAACACCCCGACTACAGGTACAGGCCGCGGCCCAAGCGCACCTGCATCGTGGACGGGAAGAAGATGCGCATATCCGAGTACAAGTCGCTGATGCGGCAACGGCGGCAGGAAATGAGGCAACTGTGGTGCCGTGACAGCGGGCCAGAGATGAGCTTCCTGTCCCCGGTCGGCTCAGAGCTGAGCACGCAACACCATCCGGGCACGGGAGCCGGGCCGTCGGCGAGGCCTAGCGTGTCGCCTCCTGCGACCATGTTGAACGGCGGCGCGGCCGGCCCCAGTTCCGACCATCCATCCTTCTATTATCCCCAGGACAGCCTTTCGCCGACGGATATGATGAACTTCTCGCCAGAAAACTCGGGATCGATCGGTGGTTACGACGCGAGCCCCCGCCACCACGACGAGGATTGAACCGCGGCTCCGGGTCAGCCGCCATGGCCGCCCGGAGCATCGTCGTCAACAGCAGCAGCAGCAGCAGCAGCAGCAACAACGTCCACGTCCACGAGACTCGGCCACGAGTTGTTCTGGTAAAAGTTTGCGGTGATATTCGCGCGCAAAGTATAATATATACAAATACGATATAACGGTGATAATAGGCCGTTGAAATATATATATATATCGTGAAAGACGGAAATAATAGGAGGGATGAACGTTCTCGAAAAAAATAAGTGACTGAGCGTTTCGAAGCCTCGCCCGAGAGGTTGTGATATATAATAAACGATTCGATATTCTGTGCCATCGTACGACGCGTGGAGGCCCTCCCGCGGATTCGAGCGAGGCGAGTCCATGCCTTCCTTCGATTAGCCGTCGTCGTGTCGAGGTCGTTTGCGAGACGACATCGTGCGAATAATTGCGCAACTCGGATCGCACCGCGCCTCTTTGGGACAATGTCGCGGTGAGCAGAGTCGCGCGATGACCCAATGCCGGCCAACCGATCCCCCCTTCCGTTATCTGTATTATCATGTGCACGTCGAACGATTCAGAACGAGACACCGGTGAACGTGAGCTCTCGAAGGATAGAAAGAAGGGAATAAGCACGAGGAAGCTTATTACCGTTATACTTGAAACGGGGTTGGGGGAAGTTGAAGGCGACGGTTGGTCGTCCACGCAGGGGGGCTTAAGAACGGACACGACGGCGGCACAGGGAGGATGTACATGGTGTATTCCGTTGGTGTAATCAAAAGCGCGACCAAGGCGGCGCAAATCTGCGAACGATAAGGCCTGATCGTCTTTAGATAACGTTCTAGGTAACGAGATATGCGCGCGAGTAGAATTCTCGAACAGGTAACGAACGTCGATTCGCGTCGTGTCAACGTGTATATGTCGGTATCCATCTCGCGGGTGTTTTCCGTTTATACGCGGGAGCGCAGAGCAACAAACACATATGAACGCTAGAATTATACATAAAATAAAATAAATAAATATAAATATAAAAAATATATATATATATATATACACACAATTATATATATATACATACCTGATTTTTCGTAAGACTGCCATGTGTCACGTGTGTGCGCGCGTATCAGAAGAAGATCGATCGGACGCAATCTCCCGCCGATGCTCGATCGAACTCGTTTCTATCGCGTTTCGTATTATGAACCGCGTTTCAACACACCGCGAGACGATCGCGACACGTATTTCAGTGTGCACGTGCGTGAGTGTGTGTGTACGAAGATACGGTGAGCGGCCAAAAAAAAAAAAAAAGTCTTGTTCCTATTCCTTCTAGTGTGTGTGTGTGTGGTCTAATAGCGATACGCCATTCCGGTCGGCCGTGTCGATACGTGAGAAACGATGATAGAAATGATACGTTAATTAAAAAAAAAGAAAGAAAAAAAAAGAAAAGAAAATAAAGAAAGAAATTGAACGTAAAAAGGGAAGAATGAAAAAAAAAAAAAAAAGAAAAAGAAAAAGAAAAAAACTATGGTCCGTTGATTATCGCGTCATATTTAGATCGTGTAATAATTCCAGGTTCACGGCGGACGCTCCTTTTTTTTTTCCGTATTCACATGCAATCGCTGTTATCCGGTATGTCGCACGAGGACCGGAACAGAGGATGAAAGAAAGATGTGAAATCTCATATTCCGTCACACGCGATTTGCACCCGCTCGAGTCACAGGGATATGTGGCCACTTCGTTTCGCGTCTTTAAAAAAGAAAAAAAAGAAAAAAACACTTATAGTACTTATAGTATTTTTCGCAATTAATTTATGGACCGTAACGATGTTAACGACGATTAATCAGGGCAAAGGGAATGAGAAGATGAGGGTATGGATCGATGATTGAGCGAAAGAGAGAAGAGCGTGAAAAGAGCGCAAGGCACGAGAGGAGAATGTTCTTGTTTTATTTTTTTTTTTTTTTTAAATAAAAGAGAAATATGGAATAATCTAAAAAAAAGAGAAATAATCGAAGCGTATTATTAGAAGGAAAGGAGGTGTGTGTATGCGTAGGAGGAATGAATAGCGAGAAAATGAGAGAAGGACACGCGCGGCGTCAATTTTTAGTACAATGTTACAATATGTAAATTACGGACGGGGAAAATTAGCGTTATTTATTGTAAACGATGTAAACGAACGAATAATCAAATTCTAATACGACGTTGTGTGTTTTTGTTTTTCGACGTTTCCGAACACACGCTGTTACGTTTTTTCTCAGTTTTAATTTCAATTTCCTTGTGAATTTGTGCGAGTTCGTGAAAGCACGATAAACCCGACGGGGGTCGATCGAGAGTAATCTAAAGACCATTGATTTATCGTGGTGTTGATGAATGTTACAGAAAAAAAAAAAAAAGGAAAAAAGAACGAAAACGAGCAGCGTTTTATAATGGGCAAAAAAAAAAAAAAAAGGAAAAAAAAAGAATAAAATCTGTTTAAGAGCGTTTTGTTTGGGAAAACGAATTGTACCGAAACATGGAAAAATCGGGAGCTCGATGTGATAATATTTATGTGCCAAATAACGTTTTCGCGGGCCGGAAGTAGAGGGCGACATGGTGCCCCTTTCGGTTCCCGGCTCGGCAGAGTTGGCTCGACGTGAAAAACTCGATAATTTCTACGTCTCCTTTTTCACCATTTTTTCTTTTCTCTTTTTTTTTTTTTTTTTTTGTTATTTATAATCAGTGCAATTCTATACAAGGTACCTAATATAATTTTATAAAGAGAGCCAGTATCCTCGATATATCTGCGCCCGTGTTTCGTCGGGTGCTTTTCGAATACCGCGGCCGGCGGCAGATAGGATAGCTTAATGTTGATAATAATTTATTTTATGTATATACATGGATTTGTACAACTGCGTCGGCGGTGTGTTCGACAACCGAGAGATAAAAAGAGAGAGAAAGAGAGTATGATTGAAGATGAAAGAGAGAGAGAGAGAGAAAGAGAGAGAGAGAAGAAAATGAGAGAGAGAGAGAATGAAATCGACCGACGCAAAAAAAAGTGTCAATACTATTGAATGTACAGTGTAACTATATTGTGATGTATCTTGCATAGCGCTACATATATGTAATTTACTCGAGAACACGTAGATTTAACGAAATGTTAAAAATGCGATGCATATCCTTATTTTCATTTGGTCATTATTCTGTTTAATATTATCCTTAATATTATTATTGTCATCAGTTTTATTTAGTACTATTATTATTATTATTATTATTATTATTATTATTATTATTATTATTATTATTATTGATTACTATTATGATTATTATTAATATTATTATATTATTTCTTTCTTCTTTTTTTTAATAATTATCCTTATTACGCAGTAGCAATAGAGGTTGTACGTGCCAGTTCAAGATGACAACGATGACGACAACAGGAAGATCGTCGATCGTTTGCGTGCTCGAATACTCAAAAATTTTCGATGTCGCATCGTTCACGTAACACAATTAATTTTTTTTTTACATTTACACTGAAACGTATTTTTTTTCTTCTTATCACATTCTGAAAAATTTAAATATTATATTTTCCTTGAAGCCATTTCTTTCAAGCTATTCACATTTTCCTCCATTTTTATTCTTCTGCTTCCTCTTTCTTCGCCAGTTTGATCTCCAAAGACCGACATTTCAACCTTATCCATCTTGTTCATTGAATCATTCGACAAATCAATTCATTGTTCAATGCGGAAGATATAAACGCGTCTTGTATGTTATTTTCTATTGTGCCATATCTTTATAATCTTTCAAAATAACCATTTTCCTAATTTTTCTTTTCCTCGATTTCTTTTAATCTCATTTTTAATCAAGAAGGCATTTTCGAATCGTGTATAATTAAGCTCGGCTCGTATCTTCCTCGTCCAATTTTCATCAATTTCGATTAAATCTTGCACATCGTTTGTTTTAACAATTAATTTTAGTTTCGTTTATTTTATGGATTACAACTACAAAAATCAAAATAATGCATGAATTTTCCTTGGATCTTAATAAAAAAAAAAAATTTAATGTTTGATATTAAATACATAATTCTAATTT